CAGGCAAAGAAGCCAGAGCTGGACACGCAGGAGAGCAGGGTAGAAAAGAGAAAGGAGGCCCACACCCCTGACACAGGGAAAACCTCGGCGTCCTCCCACAGCTGTAATCCAGGACACCCCCGGAGCGACGGGGCACATACCGGAGAAGAGAGAAGAGCGAGAGGCGAAGCCCCCGAGAAAAAAGGGCGCAAAACACCAGCACTGAAACACACTGCCCAGACCAAAACAAACTCCCACGGCGCATGCGCAGGACACGCTGGCCGAACTGCACACCCGCTCTGCAGGAAGGCGCCAACCAGGACTACTGCACAAGAAAAGTACCCAAACAGAACGCAACCCAAGGGAGGTTACCTTACCTTGAGGTTACCTTGAGGTGCTTCCGGGGCTTAGCGTCCCCGCGGCCCAGTCGTCGACCAGGCCTCCTGGTTGCCGGACTGATCAACCAGGCTGTTGGACGCGGCTGCTCGCAGCCTGACGTACGAGTCACAGCCTGGTTGATCAGGTATCCTTTGGAGGTGCTTATCCAGTTCTCTCTTGAACACTGTGAGGGGTCGGCCAGTTATGCCCCTTATGTGTAGTGGAAGCGTGTTGAACAGTCTCGGGCCTTCTAGGCGGGGCTTGTGGTTACGCGGAGTGGGTTTTTTCCTCCCCCCCTCGCCGTACGAATTTTTGGGCGTCGGCCCCTCCCCGGGCTCGGTTCCTTGTTCTTTGAGCCAGTTAGTTCTGTCCTGTAGGTGGGTGCTCTTCTGTTGCTCCCCCCTTTTTTTGGGGGGGACGGGGTGTCTTCATCATATTTCCCCGTTCTTGGGGTTCTACGTGACTTTTGGTCTCGAGTGCGACTGTGCCTTTGTGTGCCTTCGGGACTGGTGTTTGCTTCTGTGTTCTCAAGGGTTCGGGAAGGTTTTCGCTACTTCCCGTATTATTGGAACGTCTGTCGGCTCCTAGTCCAGGTCGCTGTATTTGGCTACTTGTAGCCCAGTTGGGCTACTCGTGGCTCGGTTGGGTTCCCATTGGGCTCCTTGTCTTCGCTTTGTTGGCTGCTATGTTGTCGCTGCTTCCTCTTTTGGCTCCTATCTTGTGTGATGGGTTGTTTTTTCTAATTAGCGGTTCCCTTTTTTAGGTCCGGGAGAAAAAAAAAAACGCGGGGTCCTACAGGGCCAAGGCCCCCCAAGTCACCCCCTCCCCAGCCCTGGGAACCCACACGCCAGGCCCCGGGGCTGTGCCGTCCCCCCAAAGCCCCGGCCGTACCAGAAAACCGGGGCAGCCACGAAAATACTAAGGAAGGGAGCCCACTGGCAGACTCTTACAACACAGCTGGAGGAACAGGCTCAAATGCCCCTGTCACTACCCCGGCAAGGGAATTCCCCGAGACCGCCCGAGTCTCAAAACCATCGAACCCCGCCCCGAACCTACAGATGGTAAGGAACCGGATGTAGGCAGGAAGGGTGAACCAGGGGAAAGACAAGGGGGCGTGGAAGGAACCGAAGCAACCAACACCCCCAAGTCCCAACACGAACCAAAACGGGGCAGCCCCGGGGCTCCCTGGGAGCAAACAAACGAGAGCGTTGCCACCACCAAGGCTCAACGTGCAACGCCCCTGCTGCCTGCACCCACTTAGTCAGCACAACTGGGTAACCGAGCCACAACGAGCAACATAACTCGCAGGACTCCGGGTCGAAGGTGTCACCGACCCTACAGGCAGCAGACGGAGGCAAAACAGAGAGTCACCTTGAGACAAGGGGTGAGAGTAATCCTCAAACTCGCTGGAAGCGAGGGGGGGATTCCGGGAGTCACATCCATCGGACCCGCGCGTCCCCAGGGGTTTCCCAGGGTCCCGAGCGTTTACTATAAGAGGATTCGCACTCGGGTAATCTCAGGCAGGGTATTGCTAACCGGCGCCCAAAGCTACCAAACAACTTTCTAAGAACTGATCCCCCGGGACGTGTACACTCACGGGAACCTAGCAGGGGGAACCACCAGAATAATACTCAGAACACAAGGGACACAATGGGCAAGAACGAAAGCAGACCCCCCACTAGGTAGATGAACAAAAATTAAAAATAAAACCACGCAAGAGGACAGCGTACCCAAGCGGAACAGAGCCGGCCGCCATGATTGGTGAAAACAAGCTGCACAGTACCCTGCGCCCCACCAGTGCAAAACTGCCCTTACCCTAAGGCGAACAAGGGAGACAAAACACCCGAGCACACAAAGAGCGGCCGAAAACCAAGCAGTAAACGGACTAGTAGGGGCAGAATCCAAGGAACTTGTGGAAGGTGGCCCCAAGCCCCAAGGGCAGTACTTACAGGGCACCTTGGGAAGGGAACCCTAGGCGCATGCAGCCCGAGTACTGGAGACTCACACCCGGCTCACACACCACCTAGAAGACAGACACCACATTCTAGGTACAGTGCTGAAACAACTATTAGAGCCGGAGTACACAACCGGTGCCTATAGCATCAGCCGAAGAACTGATGGGTAGATAGTCAGCGTGAAAGGTCTGGGGCGCCCCTTTTCCACTCCCAAGGTGGGGGGAGCTGCCCAGACAGCGGCGCGGTGACGTGTGACGTCATAAAAGTTTGCTTGTTCACTGTTGGGGAATCCTATCCACAAGTTCGGCTTTTGGAAGCAATTTTTACCAGAATAGGGGTTTGTTTTGGAATGCTTACTTTTCTGGATGCTTGATCCGGTCGATGGCAGACATAGAATGCTTCCAACCACACGGGGGTTTCTATATACCATTGCTCCCCTTCCCTCTCTGAGGGGGCCAGATTCTGGCTGTGGTCCCTGGTAGGCCCTAGAACTCCATACACATGACTGATGCCAAAGTCTGACATTAGCATATCAGCCTGGTAAAGCTCCAAGGAGCCGACGGGGCTCCATCCAGAGAGGACATTATGAGTGCTAAAGTGACAAAAGGCGTATCAATAATCACGAAACGTAGAACACAAACACTTGAGGACGTTGAACAGTTGTTATTAATTTGGATACACAGCAAGGAGTTAGCGGGCAATAGAGCTTCAGAGGCAAATTTTATTAGTGAAAAAGCAAGAAAATCGTATGAAGATCTTATAAAGAAAACCCCTGGATCGAGTGATGCAGAAGTGAAAGAGTTTAAGGCGAGCAGGGGATGGTTTGAGAAATTTAGAAAACGTGGCATTCATAGTGTTGTGAGGCATGGGGAGGGTGCCAGCTCAGATAAACCAGCAGCTGAAAGATTTATTGGCGAATTTAAAGATTTTGTGCAGAGTGAGGCATACCTACTACAAAAAGTGTTTAATTGTGATGAGACAGGGCTATTCTGGAAAAGATTGCCGAAGAAAACATACATTACCAAGGAGGAGAAGTCATTACCCGGACACAAGCCTATAAAAGATTGGTTTACTCTTGTGTTGTGTGGTAATGCGAGTGGCGATTTGAAAATTAATCCCTTGCTTGTGTATCATTCCAAAAATCCGAGGGTTTTCAACAAATATAATGTGCAGAAAAACAAAATGTGTGTGATGTGGAAGGCTAATGCTAAGGCATGGGTAGCTAGACAATTTTTTACGGAGTGGGTGAATGAGGTGGTGTGCCCTGCCATCAAAAAATATTTGCAGGAGAACAGTTTGCCACTCAAGGCCCTGCTTCTCCTCGACAATGCTCCTGCCCATTCGCCAGGCTTGGAGGATTCATTGATGGAGGAATTTAGTTTTGTTACAATAAAGTTTCTTCCTCCCAACACCACTCCTCTACTTTAGCCTATGGACCAGATAATCATTGCCAATTTTAAGAAACTTTATGAAAGGGCACTTTTCCAGAGATGTCGAAGTGACGGATGCCACACAACTCTTTAAGAGTTCTTGAAAAAACATTTTAAACAACCCTCCGACCGGTGGGAGGGAGGGTTGCCAGGGAGCCTCCGGGGCTCACCCAAAAAATGGCGTTTCATTACATTCAATGCTGGTTTTCTGTGGGGAGCCCCTACGGCTCCCTGGAGCTTCATACTGTAGTGCTTTAAAACTCGTAGACAAAGTCTGGTAAGAAGTGACTGTAAGAACCCTGATCTCTGACTGGAAAAAACTGTGGCCTGAATGTGTTGCAGAATGAGACTTTGAGGGGTTTGAACCTGAGCCTGAAGTGCCTCTTGTTGAGGAAATTGTTTCTCTAGGCTAGCAATTGGGCTTGGAGTTGGATGGTGCTGATGTGGAGGAGTTGGTGGAAGAACACAACGAAGAACTGACCACCAAAGAACTTCAAGTCCTTCAAAAGGAGCAGCAACAAGAGGTAGCTGAGGAAATTTCTTCAGGGGAGGAGGTGCCAGCAGAGAATGTCCCTTCCTCAACAATTAAGAAAATGTGTGCAACATGGGAAGAACTGCAAACTTTTGCTGAAAAGACTCACCCAAATCAAGCTGCAGTAGGCCGTTGCCTTAACTTTTTCAATGACACTGTGATGCATCACTACAGACAAATGTTAAAACGAAGGGAAAAACAAGTGCCTCTTGAAAATTTTTTAGTGAGACAATCAAGCAGTGAACCACAACCAGGTCCTAGTGGTATGCAGGCAAAACATAGGAGAGAGAGAGTACCCCAGAGAAATCATCACTGCCTGATGTTATCATGGAAGGGGACTCTCCTTCTAAACAGTAACACCTCTCATCATCGCCCCCTCATCACCATCTTCCATACGCCATCAAGAGTCCTCCATAAAGATAAGATAAACATATGTACTGTATTGTAGTTAGAGAAAAAAATTGTATTCAGTATAAAATGTATTTGTAAGTTAATATTTTGGAGGGTGGGGAACGGGTTAATTCCATTCCTTTTATTCTTAAGGGAAAAATCACTTGGACTTACGATATTTCGACTTACGATTCGTCTCTGGGAACAGATTACCATCGTAAATCGAGGCCCCACTGTAGCATCAGTGCAATAATAGTTTTATATGTGAAAGCAATGTTGTTAGTCTGAGTCTGTCTTATTACAGTGCTGACCCCTTAAAGTGGAATGATTATTTACCTTCAAACTGAGAGAGATCATATCCAGTATTATGCCTGCTACATCTCTGACATGGGCTGGGCATCGCTTATCATAGTGGGACACTGTCTTGGGCTCACTATTCTTCAGGGCACTTAGCAAGCAAGTGATGGCACTCTCATCAACTCTCTCAACTGGACCATAGAGAACTGGTACACGCAAAATACATGCATCTGAAAATGTTTAACAAAATCATTCAATTTATATGGCATTGAATGACACTAAAATATTAATCATACAAAAAAAAGAAAATTTAAGTATTGCCACTGTTCACCAACCTTTTCAAATGCAATCATTTATTTGTCACAGTACAAGGTAACATTTGACGTACTGTACATATTTTACCAGGAATGATCCCTGGCCAAAAAACCAGCGCTGAATGTAATAAAACGCCATTTTCTGGGTGAGCCCCGGAGACTCCGTGGAGCTTATCGGGTTAATGTATGTAATATTAGACCAGGACATTAGCTAAGGAGTCTAGACCTACCAGGGACCAGCACCAGAACCTGGCCCCTTCAGAGAGGTTTCAGGGAGCAATGGCCCTGGAAAACCCCCTTGTGGTTGGGGTTTTCCTTATCTGCCATCGACCGGGGTTAGGCAACCAGAAAGGTAGGCATAACAAAACAAACCCCACATGGTAAAAAATTAAAACAAAACTGAATAGAGAGGTAGAAACTCCCTACAATCCCAAGGAAACAAGCAAACAAGCAAATATCACACTTTACTGCCGCACCGATCGTCCGCGCAGCCCTCCCTGCCCCGAGAGGGGGAGGGGGGAGCCCCGGACCTACCGCGCTGGCTGCCAAGCTTCAGTTCGGAAGCTAAGCTTTAACCAAAGCGAGAAAAACGCCGACTGGTGGGAGGGAGGGTTGCCAGGGAGCCTCCGGGGCTCACCCAGAAAATGGCGTTTCATTACATTCAACGCTGGTTTCCTGTGGGGAGCCCCTATGGCTCCCTGGAGCTTCATACCCAAAGAGCAAGAAAAGAAAGGGCTTACCCGGGAGGCGGCTGCCACAAACTCCGCAACGCGAAGCTGAGACAACAGGCTGCAACCTGAGACCCAAGGCAACAAGAACGCACAAGAGCAGACGCGCATGAGCGGCCAAGAACCTTTGCGACCCTCAAATCCCTGCACCTGAAATGAGCCTTAGACATCACCAACACAGCAGCAAAAGCTGCAAACGTCCAAACAGCACGGGCGCAAGGACAGACCGCAGGCTGGAAGACTGAAAAACTCTGCGGACGACCTGGGACACCCGAGCCCTGAAACAGGGAATGAGGGGAACTGGATCAACCCAAAGCGCATCCCCAGACACGGTATGCAGGAAACGGCAAAAAAGCACAATTGGATAACACAGGACACACCCCCGGCCAAGCCAATCAAGCATCAATAACCCAAGAACCCCTCCGGAGAGCAGCCGTCTTGACCGTCGCCAGGACGGAGAAAGGCTGCAAACGTACAAATCTACCACCAGTACCAAAGAGCAGAAACCTGAACCGAAGGGGTAACCACAAACTGAGGAGAAGATAAGAAGGCACCCTGATCCAGGACCAGGACGGCTCAGGCGATGCATGAGCAGGCCGGAGGTGAAACAAAGCACGAGAAAGCGTACGAAACGGGGCAGATGTGACGTCGACCCCAAACGCAAGCCGGGGCGGCTCCACCAGCGCCGCACAAAACAAAGCAACAGTAAGAAACATCAAATAACTGTAGTCCTGAAAACCCAAGAAAGGGCAAGACAATCTGATGCGAAGGAGAAGACAACCTATGAAGAGCAAGAAAAAGTACATAGAAACATCAGGAACGTCATACAGACGCCGAGACGAAGCTCGCAGGTGGGACACCATCAACAAAGCCACCTGATCACCACAGAGATGGTGATAGCCGCGTCAAAAAACCAGACGCGAAGAGCCGAGGAGAAGGCTGAACCAGTCACGTACTGGACCGATCCGACCTGCCGAAAGAGGCGGAGCCGTGGGAAAACGTTCCGGGTTCGGACACCTATCAAGCAGCGTCTGAAAATAAAGCTGGGTCGGCCACCAAGGAACCATAAGGATTACTCTCGTGGGAATGGGCTCCAAGTGAGCCAGAACCCGAAGCAACAGCTGGACCGGGAGAAGAGGAACAGGTACCCCCCACCTCGACCAGTCCTGCCGAAAGGCATCCACTGTGAATGCCTCGCAGGCGGGTAAGGGCGCCACATAAAATGGGCGAAGCCCAGACCACGCCGACTCGAAGACGTCCATGGCCAGGAGTCCATATGTCCGACAGAGCCAACGAAACGAGTCGGCGAAGACTGGCCAATCCGCGAACAGCGGAATGAACTGAGACAGCTGTCCGCCAGGACGCAGGACACACCCCGGACATGAACCTCACAGTTAGCCAAACCCCGAGAATCCAGCAAACAAGCCACTCTAAGGAACCAACCCCAAAGGTCAACACCTAAGAGAAACCCTGTGGTTCCGGCAAAGAACTGCCAGAGAACAGTTCAAATGGAGCTCAATGGTAGAGCACGGAGTGACCCCAAACCCTCCGAAGCGCAAACCAGACAGCCACGAACTCCCGAACCGTGCTGTGAGCCCGACGGACGGACAGACCCCACCATCCCCAGCCGACCTGGTGAGCACTGGTCACAAAACCCCAGCCGGGAGATGACCCGTCCGTGAACACATCGAGCGAAGGCTTGGGGAGGTGCCATGACACGGAACCCCGAAAACCCCAAAGAGGAAGCTGGTGACGCAGCACCAACACAAGATCCCCGGAGGAACGAACCCAACGATTGCAAGAGGCGGAAGGGGAGTCTCCGAAGGAACCAAACAGACACCGAAGCCAAACCCGACCCCATGGGCAGACCAGCATGTCCAAGTTCAGACTCCCGCACAACTGCTCGAGCAACCGCTGAGCAACCCGGGACCCCCTTATGAACAGCCGAAGGCCGGACCACAGCCGCAGCAACACTTCTGGAGGGAAAGACAAGAAGCAGCCCAAGAGCCCTAAACAAGGCCCAGCCAGGTCCGAACCCGGGACGGAAACAGATGGAATGGCCTCCAGATCACCAGGAAACCAAACCCGGCGATCTGGAAAGAACCACACCCCTGGCGAGCAAACAAGCGGACCGACTGGGAGCTCACACCAGCCAGTCGTCGAGGTAGGCCAGACACCGAATCCCAAGCAGACTCAGACAGGGTACCAAAATCCGGTAAAGATGCAAAAATACACCAAGTGCCAATTACAAAATAGGGAAGGCAACAAAAGTGGCAAGCCTGAAGCCCCACCACCAACTGTGCCAGTCCCGGAAAACTGGAGAGGAACATGCCAAGAATTGACCTGGAGGTCCTGGGCCACCATCCAGGCACCTGGCCCCAACAGAAGCCGGACAGGAGACAACAGTCCTCCGATGAGGGCATAGAATCCAGGGCGCAGACTGAAGAAGTTCAGAAGAACCGCAGATTCGACAGGCCCATGTCTGCAAAGAACAGACGGGAACCCCAGAAGGATGGGGCGGAATGACCACGTCCAACACACCCACTAAGATGACATAACAAAGCGCAGGGCAAGAAGCCCACCCCGTCAGCCCTGAACCCCCAAAAGGGGGAGAAGCCATCTACCGCCGCCATCAGAGGCCGGAAGACAACCAAAAGTGCACACTAACTGCGGGACCATGCGAGTCAACAGAGCAAGCGGCTCCTCCAGCGGCCCGTCAACAGAGAAGGGAACAGAGCCCCTTCCAAAAGAAAGAGTATACATGCACATATATACATGTGTATGTATACTTGTATATACATATTATGTATATACACATACACATACACACAAGGTATGTTACACACTGGTATGAGGTATGAGGTGAATAAAGAACTAGAAAAGTATAAAGAAGAAATAAAAGCGACATATGCTCAAGTTGTAAAAGAGAAAGAGTCTATCAAAGAAGTGTGTTCGGAAGTCAAAACCAGAAATGACCAACAAGAATCAGAAATTAGGCAAGCAATTAGGAAAGAACTGGTTACCAACAGTAAACTGGTATAAAACACTGCAGATAGAACTAAGTCCATAATCATTTTTGGATGTTTAGAGAAGGAAATTTCATCTAGGGTGGACCGAGCAGCAGAAGAGATGAAAATCATAGAGAAAATAGTAGGTTTAGGAGAAGGCTCAAAGGAAAATGTCAGTGATTTTAGAAGAATAGGAAAATATGAGAAAGAAAAGAACCGCCCCTTAAGGGTGACGTTTAATGGAGTGAAAAACATGATGGAAGTGCTAAGGAATGCCAGGAAACTGCAGAGTGATGAGGTTGGCAAACTTTGGTCAATAAGACAAGACCTCTCCAAGGAAGACAGAGAAAAGCTGAAAATGAACCTAATTGAGGCAAAACGTCTAAATGGGGATAGAAATGAAGAAGACAGAAATTCTTTTTTTTACAAAGTGACAGGGACTGGAAAGCTTGTGAAATGGTACATAAAAACAAAGCAACAAGATCAGTAGTGGAAGGGGGAGTAAAGAGCAAAGGAAAAGGGAACATGTTCCTGAAAATTGTATATACCAACATAGATGGAGTGAGGTCAAAAACTTTGGAGTTGCAAGATATAATCCAGCTTAGGGTCCCAGATATTGTTGCATTATCAGAGACGAAACTTGAAGGAAATACAGTGGTACCTCGAGTAACGAATTTAATCCGTTCCATGTTCGTCATGTGAAACGGACGTCATAGAAAACAAGTGTCCCCCATGTAACCAGTGTGATGCACTGTGTTTATTGTGAAATTGCCCCAGTGTGCATGACATCAAATGTTCCCCAAAATATAATTTTTCTTTGTAAAATGATAAATTACCTTCCCTGAACATGTCTATGTAAAAATAATTACCAAATTCCACTTACTTTGGCTGTGAGGGCGTGGACAAGGTGCGCTGTGACGTCATCAGGGCCTGGTTGCCTGTGTGTGAAGCTCCCAGACATGGTCGCGCACGCCATTCAAGCACCGCGTTTTGCCACAAATATATTTTCAATTATTTTTTCTATGTATTTCCAATGCAGTTTTGTTTGTTTCTTTTATCGTATAGATTGCATATTTGTGTCCTTTACAATATGTATACAGTAGAATGTTCATAATTTTCCATGGAACTGTGATACATGTGTTAGTAATGTGTCCACAATAAATGTTTATTGTCACAATAT